AGGTTGAGTTTGTAGTAAGATTGTTCCCCATATATGTTGATTTCTATAAGGAGGTTGGGTAGTGAAATGAGTGGTTGCGTGAGTGTCAGAATCACGTCATCAGCAAACAGCCCAGCTTTGTATTCTCTTTTCCCTATCTTTATCCCATGTATGTTTGTATTATCTCTGATTCTGCTAGCTAAGGGTTCCAAGGCCAGAATGTAGAGCAGTGGTGATAGGGGGCAGCCCTGTCGGGTGCCGTTCGTTAGGTGGAAAGGCTCCGATAAGACGCCTGAGTTTAGGACTTGTGCCGCAGGTGCGCTGTATAGTGTTTCTATCACTGCTACAAAATACTCAGGGATGCCGAATTTTGTTAGTGTCGTCTTGAGAAAGCCCCAATGTAACCTATCAAAGGCCTTCTCAGCGTCTAGGGATATCAATAGGCCTCCTGGTCCTTGTGTTTGAAGTTTGTATAGTAGGTTTAATACTTTCCTTGTACTATCGGACCCTTGTCTCCCTTTCACAAATCCCACTTGATCGTTGTGTATGATGTGTGGTATGATTTGCCCCAGTCTCATTGCGTTTAATTTAGCAAACATTTTTGCGTCAGTGTTTAGTAGTGAGATGGGCCTAAAGTTTTGTGGAACTGTGGGGGGTTTATTGGGTTTCGGTAGTGTGACTATGTGGGGTAGCAACATTTCTTTTGGGAGAGATTTTGTGGCTGTGGCATAATTAAAGGCTGTGGCTAAATAGGGTGCTAGGGTCGAACTGAACGTTCTGTAGTACTGGTTTGTTAGACCGTCTGGTCCAGGTGATTTTCCAATTGGTAACGTTTTGATTACATTTATAATCTCTTGTGTGTCTATAGGTTTAATTAGTTCTATCTGTTGATGTGTTATGAGTTTTGGCAGGTTGATCTGTGCTAGATAGGCGTTGATACCCGCCTCTGTAGGTTGAGCAGTATTGCTTTCCTCTTTTAAGTTATAGAGGCTATGGTAATATTTGGCGAATTCATCGCTTATGTCTTTGGGTTTAGTGATTTTCCGTCCCTTACCTCCTACTAACTAAGCTATTTTTTGGTTTGCTTGTTTCTTTTTGAGGTGGTTTGCTAGTAGTTTGCTTGCTTTATTACCCTGCATGTAGTGATTTATTTTTAGTTTTGTCATGTGTGCTTGTGTTTGTTCTAGGGTTTGTTGGTGTATCAATCTGGTTATGGTCATTATGCGTTGTTTCCTTTGCTGTTGGGTGCAGTTGGTTGTGGGAGTTTAGGTGATATAGTTCTTTTTTCCATTCAGTAAGCCTAGTGTTGGTGAGTTTTTTTATGTATGCTGCTTTTCTGATCAACAAGCCTCTAATCACTGACCTATATGCCTGCCATATTGTTGCTGGTGTTACCTCCCCGTTATCGTTTGTCGTATAGTATGATTCTAGGTCGTTCTGGAGGTCCTTAGTAAAGGTTCTGTCTTGGAGTAGTGAATTGTTTAGTTTCCATGAGCTATGATGTTTGAAATCGTATACGTTTTTCATCTCTAGTGTTACTGGTGCGTGATCTGACCAAGTGATTTGTTGAGTATCGCAAGCCTGTATTTGGTTTAGATGTGAGCCCGATATGAGAATTCCGTCTATTCTGGACATTGGAAAAATGAGTGAATGTTTTGGTCTCCGGGTGTGTGATTCTCCATGTGTCGTACAGATGATGTTCGTGGAGGAGTTTTAGTATGCTTTTGCACTGCCTCGCCAGAGGGCATGTCTGTGGCGATGTTGGGGTAGTGTGGTATCTAACCTAGGGTCTAGTATGTGATTGAAATCTCTGCATATCACCGTTATGCCCTGTTGTATTTTGCTAATTTTGTTAAGTATGCTATGTAGAAAATTCCTCTGATTGTTATTAGGTGCATATATGCTTACGAGCTTGTACTGCATATCGTTTATTGTTCCTGTCACTATGACATACCTGCCGTTTTTGTCTTCGTCATGGATGTGTGGTGTGACATTAACGTGTTTGACTATGAGTATAGAGGTCCCTTTGGGTTTGTGTGTTGGGGTTGAGTGGTATTGGTGTGGGAAGTTCGCTGTTTGAATTTGAGGGTGATCATTATATCTAAAATGCGTCTCTTGTAGGCATAGTACATCTATGTCTAGTGATTTGAGGTCTCTGTTGAGTAGGTGACTTTTTATGGGGCTGTTGGGCCCCCTTACATTATAAGTACAGATCCTCACGGTGGTTCATTATAGCGCCATATTGTGTGGTATGTTGTCAGATCTATTCTGATGGAGTCCATCATGATATGAACATAGTGAGCGGTTTCAAAGTTAACACAGTAAGTAAAGAAAGAATAAAACATAATAACTACAACAAAAGTATATACTTAGGTTAACATTGCCGTAAGTATGGCTAGGCACTGCATCGTCGTGCCTTGGGGTTGAAGCTAAGCTTCACATCCTGTTTGGTCTCCGTCCCTTGAGCCTCTGTTAAGTCGCTGTGGTCATGTGGCACCCTATTCAAACCTATAATTTTGTTTAATAGTTTCAGGGGTTTTGTATAGTTTCGCAGGATGTCAAGGTGTCCCTGTGTGTTCGGTCCGCAAGGAGGGCCTAGGTTTATCTTTTACGTCCAGGGTGTAATCTATGTCATTTTACCTGTATACTGTTAAGTTAGTCAACATTCCATACAGTTAATTACTCCTGGTTTACTCCCCTTATTTAAACATTTTAGACAGTGGGTCGCAGTTCACAGGCCTCTTTCCCTGTTTTGCTTAATGCGTTTGTCCCCTAATTTTTAAGAGTGCCTGGATATTAACCCCTGGCTTGTCCATGTCCCTGGGTGTTAATGGATTGTTGTTGGTTACTTTACCCAATCATGGCCGTCTCCCAGCTGAGATTTATCGGTTCAGGGTGTTCCTCTATTATTTGGGTGGTGAGCAGTTAGTCAGTTCTGGTGTTTCTTTTCTTTTCTCCATTCCGGGGAGAGTCTGTTGGTGTTCCTTCCCTCAACTGAACCTTCTGGCAGGTTGATATCCCAGGATTTGAGAGTGATTTCACCACTGTAGTTTTCCCTTTTCATGTTATAAGGAGCTTTGTTGGATATCCCCAGTGGTATGGGAGGTGGTTATCCCTCAGTATTTGTGTTATATTTTTAAACTCTCTCGAGCGTTTCAACGTGTAAGTAGAGATGTCTGCATATATTGACACGCTCTTATAGGCCTCCAGCATGTTTTTCACTGTTCTATTAGCGTTAAGTGCTGCATCTTTAGCATGAAAGTAATGCATGCGAAGCAGCACCTCCCTTGGCATTTCGGGTGGTAGGAAGCTCGGTTTTGCTGTGCGGTGTATCCTTTCTATCAGGAGCATCTCCTGGGGCCAGTCCGGTAGTAAGCTTTTTAGGAGCCCAGTAACATGTGCCATGAGGTCTGGCACGCTCACGGTTTCCGTTATACCTCGTATGCGCAGGTTGTTTCTGCGTGCCCTGTCTTCCATGTCCGCAAACTTCATGTCCTGCTCCTCAATTCTGGTGATGAGGCCATTTATAGTATCTGCCATGGTGTTGTGGGCTATTTCGTATTCCGCCATTTTGTCCTCTACTTGTGAGGTTCTTGTGCCCAGCTCGTGCAGATCTTTGCGGATGTCTTTCATTGCTGTATCTACTTTACTGAGTATTCTGTCGGAAATTTCATCCAACATCGCTTTCAGTGTACCTTGTGTCTGCACGGGTGTTTGGTCTGCGGTCCGCTCTGTATGTTCCACACTGTCCTCGTCGCTATCTTGGGCCTGCTCTTGTGTCTGTTGATTTTTGTTTTGGCCGGCTCTGGAGGCAAAAAGTTTGTTTTATCTGACTTGTCAGTATTCCTCTTTCCTTTTGGTTGTGACATTTCTGCAAGATTGGTTGTTTTTGTTGTTTTTTTCAGGCTTAATTTCTCATTTGAGACTGATTTGGAACGGAGCTGCTAGTGCATGCGACCGCTCTGGTCTTCAGTCCGGACACGCCCCGAGATAGGTGATTTTGAGTAGCCTTATAAAATAAAATAAAATATTTGTATGTGTGCCCTGTTCCTTCTGTATGATGTATATATTTTGCCCTCTATGGAAGCACCATTCCTGTGAAATGCATGTTCTGGGTGTGCACCCAATTCCCTTTTTATCTTTACTGTTTAGTGTAGTGTTTAGACATTACTCCCAATCAAAATTAACATCAGTAATTTTCTTTGAATTGCTCTGCAGGAATACACATGATACAACACGTAAATACCAAGAAACAAAGCAAATATCATTTTCAAATCATTTTTAGTAATCCACAATTGAAGAATCCCTGATGACATGAAGGCCCGATTTTATGAGTTAAAATATGAAGTTTGTGCTTATTTGCCTTGTGTATAATGGTACCAGCAAACACCTCGGATTGTATCTGATTAAAGGCCAATCTGTATGATTTTTTATATTGTTTGTTAAAGTAACACTGGAGAAAGGCACTAAAACCGCTTAATCTCATTAAAATAGATAAAGTGCTTGGAGTACCTGGGCGCTGAATCGTTTTCAGTTTGTTAAACACTGAATGAAGGACCCGGGACGCCCGCTGTCCAGCCCCTCGCTACTGCTTAGGCTCATACTTAAACATTAGTTCAAGCAGCAATAGTTGGCAGTAATAGGAACGCCACCTGCTGGCTCTCAGAGTATCACAGACATCTATTGCTGCTATACACTGGTATAGCTAAGGTGGAGTGTAACTACTCCAAGCAAGGGATGTGCAGTAGACCCCTCATAAGATGTTAAACTCTTCGTGATTTAACATTAACCATGGAATAGGTGCCGTGGAATGCAGACGCTACAACCAATTCAATTAGACAAAATTTTTATAGTGCTAGAGTGTTTCTTTAAATAAAATTTCATATTTTAACCCACATGTTCGAATTATGACATATTTTCATATGTTCGGACTGTTTTGCAGGAAATCACATGTGGCAAAATCGTCAAGTAGGAATGAACCTTTATTAAGAAAAAGTTTTCTAACTATCTTGGGAGCATCATTAGTTTGAAGAAGACGTTTGTCTACTTTGTTTCTCCAACTTCTAAAAAACAAACAGATTATTATTATTTATTCATCTTTTTAAAATTGTTTTTAATTTGAGTAGCTAAATATCATGCCACTGAAAATTACACTTTGTCTACTATGTTGACTGTTTTTGCTATAAATCTGAATCCAACTTACGTTTTCCATTTTTTTTCTATGTATGCTTGAGAGGTACTCCCTGTACTCATTGTACTCTTTTAAAGAGCAAACAACCTAAACAAGAGATTTTCTTTTAATTCAATGTCATTCAGTTAAATTTATGTATGCAATATGTTAGTGTAAAATTAAATGGTAGAGGCATGTTGCTTGTTTTTGTTTTTTTATCCTACCTTATCATCACTGGTGATAAATCCCTGCTGACGTATCCGTTGTCGAGGTACTTTACTCTGGTAATATTCTTTTAAGTACGGGTCATGCAGGTTATGGTAGGTTGTCTTCATCAAACGACAATATGGATCTTCAAGGTCAAATGATGGACTTTGCTTATAAAGCTGCAAAAACATTATTACATAAAACATTTGTGCATTCATTCTGTAAACCTATTCTGAAGAACACTCATTAGCATAAAACAACCAATATATACAATGTCGTGAAAATATCTGCTTACTAGTCTGGATTAGTATTAAATACCTTTTCCGAGAGCTTGGTGGTACAGAATTGGACAGGCTGTTTAGGACACACTGGAAATTTCACTCCAGCAGGAACATTCACAAATTGTTCTGCTGGGGGTGCTCTAATGAAATCGACCTAAAAAATAGAAATTCAGTTATTGTAGATTGCAGAACATATGTAATATACATATTAATGTGACATTTTTTTATAATTTATACTTTTTTGGAGAATGACATCCACAATAAACTAAAATAAAAGCATGAAGAAAATGACGATGTAAAAAAAATCTCAGGTTTACAGCCTGTGTCTGTAAAATGTTCCCTTCCTAATATGAATCAGACTATGGATTTAGATTGTAGTGTATACCTTTTCCGAGGGATTTGTGGTAAGCATCGGAATCCGATTATTAGGACATGGTGGAAGTTTGATCCCCGAAGACCTATTTCTCTGTGTTGGCCTGGCTCTAATGGAAGATGCCTAAAATAGAGAAAGTAATCCCTTCTATGACTATTTGCATTCCATTTTATCTTTTCTGATGATGAGGCATCCCCTGCCCGAATACAAAATTCATTAAAAATCACTGTTGGATATACCCCAAATTAAAAATTGCATATATTTTATCATGCATTTTTTCATTGGAGATATATCTAAAAACAGTTTGCAAAACCTACAGTTCTTTGTCCACTGTCTATGGAAGCCCTCCCCTTCTAACCCCGCCCAGACTTTCTGGGCTGTCCAATCATAGACTTCCCAAAACAGCTCAATGAAAATCAGGTGCTCTGATTAATTGCTGCCTCTTAAATTTAGCTACTACAATCTGTCAATATTAAAGGCAGGTAGTTAGTGGCAGCTACTAATTAATAACTGGCTTAAAAACTTGTTGCAATTTTTTATTGGCTGTCCATTAGTAATGTCTGCCTGCTGTGATACCAACCACTTGTAGATGTGTTGTTCATTGGTAAAACACAAAAACATATGGTTTGTACGCTGTTTCTAACCACAATGTGCCTTTAAGGGATCCCTGTGAGCTTACTTTAGTCTATGATTGGCCAGTTAACGTGTATGGCATTACACTGTACACATGGTTGCTATTAAAGGAACACTCAAGGCACCATAAAAACTTAATCAAAATGGTGCCATATGGTGCCAGGAGGCCCCTAGACACATTCTTATTTCAAGTGGTTTCACCCCTTTAGGTATGAGTATGTCAGGGGCCTCTGGCATGCTTGTAGCTTGTAACTCGCTGGAGTTATTGGGCAAACATTTGGAGACAGTAAAGAGTCACTATTTGCTATCAATATTGATGGACATTTAGTGAGTATCAACTGGTCAGCAGTAATTGGTGACAATAGTTTAAGTGAACCCTCAGACCTATATCTTATATACATCTAAATATTCCAAAACTGTTATTGCTATTTGTTTTTTTTTTTGGTTGTTATTACATTCAGATTTGAGGTACATTTCCTTTAGGTTAGCACTTATTATGAGATCTTAGAAAGATATTCATAGGATAGCCCATATATTTAGATAAATATGATGCTTTTTGATAAATTGATGATTAGATATATTTTTTTATTTGAAGTAATTTGGCACACAAAGATTCTTGATCTATCTAGAGTTCAAGAGTTCAGAGCATAATGTTAAAATTATATGTCTTGGAAAATACATGCATTATCATATTTATTTCTATTTTTACATATCATTTTCGCTTCTATTAAAGATGCAGTTGAAAAACATAAACAGTTTAACGTCTCTTTAAAAGTGTATTTTGCAACTTTAATGTAGGGGAATGCTCCAAACAAACATTATATCTGCCTTTCATATGTTTGATACAATGCATAATGTATAGAACTGATTTCAGCCACATATACTGCAAATTCATTCTATTTTAGTCAGAAGCATGTCTTCATTTTAATTGTCAGTTTCCTTTGAAATGCTCTGATATTTGTGTTTATTAGCATGTTATTCAGCCTTCCAACAGTCAGATAAAATAATTCAGTAATATGTTTTTGTTGGACTTGAGTTGCTAATCATTTTTGTTGCCAACCTTTCTTGTGAAAAAATTAAGGATTCATTAAAAACTGGTGGTCATGTCAAAGGAACAGGAGATATATAATCAACCTGTAAGATATTTAGGGCTCAATTTATTCATAGAACACATGAAAACCAGCATAGCAGAAAAAAAGAAGATTGTATTTCTGCCTTGTAATATATTTTTCCTTGTGTGAAGTCAAATTAGTGACGATAATAGATATGCAATGACTAGAGTTGAGCGGACACCTGGATGTTCGGGTTCGCCAAGTTCGGCCGAACTTCGTCAAAAGTTTGAGTTCGGGCTCGAACTTGACCCTGAATTTTTGGGCACTAAAATGCCTCTAAAAAAGTCCTGGAAAGGGCTAGAGGGTTGCAAAAGGAAGTAAAATGGGGGTAAGAGTAGGACAAGTGTCCTGCAAACAAATGTAGATAGGAAAATCACTTAAAATAACATAAAATACATAAATATTACAAATACAGCTGAGCCATAAAATAGCACTAGATGGAATCTTTGATTTTAGCTTTGGAAGAACATAAATCAAAATCTGAAACATGGCTGTCAGCAGGATCACCAGAATTATCCATTTGAGAGAGGGTTGGAGTGCAGGGTATTCTCTTTCATTGTTCAAACTGAGCTCAACTCCTGATGCATGGAGAAAAGGCATTCACAAGCCTCTGCTATTGTGTACATAGTTTATACTAAGTGACCCATAGGTTGAGGAGGCGGTGACCATGGCAGTGTAGGTGGAAGCAGCGGTGGAGGAGGAGGTAGCCAACACTGTTTTGTATTTGTTTCTTTTTTGTTTTGTTTTTTAATTGGGGTAGCCCCCAAAATATTGGGACATATAAAAAAGAAACATTTGCGGCCTGCGGTGCATTTCTTGCAGTCCAATAACACCATCAGATTTTTAAAACTGTCCGTCTCCACCAGACGGAATGACAGCATTTCAAAGGCCACTTCAGCTGGAAGGCTATTCCATGCATCCACTACCCTCTCAGTAAAGTAATACTTCCTGATATTATTTTTAAACCTTTGCCCCTCTAATTTAAGACTATGTCCTCTTGTTGTGGTAGTTTTTCTTCTTTTAAATATAGTCTCCTCCTTTACTGTGTTGATTCCCTTTATATATTTAAATGTTTCTATCATATCCCCCCTGTCTCGTCTTTCCTCCAAGCTATACATGTTAAGATCCTTTAACCTTTCCTGGTAAGTTTTATCCCGCAATCCATGAACCAGTTTAGTAGCCCTTCTCTGAACCCTCTCTAAGGTATCAATATCCTTCTGAAGATACGGTCTCCAGTACTGTGTACAATACTCCATGTGAGGTCTCACCAGTGTTCTGTACAATGGCATGAGCACTTCCCTCTTTCTACTGCTAATACCTCTCCCTATACAACCAAGCATTCTGCTAGCATTTCCTGCTGCTTTATTACATTGTCTGCCTACCTTTAAGTCATCAGAAATAATCACCCCTAAATCCCTTTCCTCATATGTTGAGGTTAGGACTCAATCAAATATTCTGTACTCTGCCCTTGGGTTTTTACATCCAAGATGCATTATCTTGCACTTATCCACATTAAATGTCAGTTGCCACAATTCTGACCATTTTTCTAGTTTACCGAAATCATTTGTCATTTGGCTTATCCCTCCTGGAACATCAACCCTGTTACATATCTTCAGCAAAAAGACATACCTTACCATCAGCAGCAGAAGAGGAAGCAGGAGGAGCTTCAGACCTTTCTTGGTTTTTGATGTGCTTACTCCACTGAAGCTTGTGGTTCCTTTGATCGCTCCAGACTTGGATAAATGTGGTAATTCTAGAGCTAATACATGCCGATGAGCGCTAGGGGACGGCCGCTCCGCTGTTGCACCATGCTCCCTCTTATGCTGTGCTGGTGCCTCTGTGCGACCACCGCCTCTTCCTCCAAACTGCACACGTCACTTGCATGACCTTCATTGCATGTGGAGTCTAGGACCTCATCATCCTCCACATTATCTTCCACCCACTCCTAAACCCTGCCCTCCTTGCCGGTCTGCAGTTGGCACCTGTGTTTTTCCAGCATGTAAAGTCTGCAAAGGACATATGGAAATTGTTTTAGAATTGTATCCAGGCAACAGTTTTCCCTATAAACTGACCTTTCAGTTTGACTTGTGAGGGTATTGCCCCAGAATTACAATATTGTTTAAGTACCTTTTAGCTATTGATAAAATATCAATCTGTTTTCTATCACTTAGATCTGTTTAACAAGTGTAGGTGTGAAACAATATTACAAGTGACCGATGTAGTAAATTCAAATCAAAGTTCCATTTGCAAAAAAAATTTCTCGCCCATCTTCTGTGGGTTGTTGCATTTTTAAGATGTATACTTATTGTATCACACTAGCCATGCACAGGTAGATTGTCTGGCACGTTGTTTTGGTGTTTGGTTTTTAACTTTGTAGTTGTGTCTTTACACAATATAGAAATGTATATTAATGCTTCTGTATACAGGGAGTGCAGAATTATTAGGCAAATTAGTATTTTGACCACATCATCCTCTTTATGCATGTTGTCTTACTCCAAGCTGTATAGGCTCGAAAGCCTACTACCAATTAAGCATATTAGGTGATGTGCATCTCTGTAATGAGAAGGGTGTGGTCTAATGACATCAACACCCTATATCAGGTGTGCATAATTATTAGGCAACTTCCTTTCCTTTGGCAAAATGGGTCAAAAGAAGGACTTGACAGGCTCAGAAAAGTCAAAAATAGTGAGATATCTTGCAGAGGGATGCAGCACTCTTAAAATTGCAAAGCTTCTGAAGCGTGATCATCGAACAATCAAGCGTTTCATTCAAAATAGTGAACAGGGTCGCAAGAAGCGTGTGGAAAAACCAAGGCGCAAAATAACTGCCCATGAACTGAGAAAAGTCAAGCGTGCAGCTGCCACGATGCCACTTGCCACCAGTTTGGCCATATTTCAGAGCTGCAACATCACTGGAGTGCCCAAAAGCACAAGGTGTGCAATACTCAGAGACATGGCCAAGGTAAGAAAGGCTGAAAGACGACCACCACTGAACAAGACACACAAGCTGAAACGTCAAGACTGGGCCAAGAAATATCTCAAGACTGATTTTTCTAAGGTTTTATGGACTGATGAAATGAGAGTGAGTCTTGATGGGCCAGATGGATGGGCCCGTGGCTGGATTGGTAAAGGGCAGAGAGCTCCAGTCCGACTCAGACGCCAGCAAGGTGGAGGTGGAGTACTGGTTTGGGCTGGTATCATCAAAGATGATCTTGTGGGGCCTTTTCGGGTTGAGGATGGAGTCAAGCTCAACTCCCAGTCCTACTGCCAGTTCCTGGAAGACACCTTCTTCAAG